TGGGGTAATGGTCTGTAGTGCTATCGGTGATTATACCTGAAGTAAGCGGAGAGGTTATGTTGGTCCAGATGTGATCTAGAGTCGTAGCAGTACTATCAGTGATTCTAGTTGGTCTAGTGATTAAGGGTATGAGGAAGCAGGAATTCATACAGTTGAGGAAGCTAACAGCAGTAGGGTGTTCAGGCTCGCAGAGGTCAATATTAAAGTCACCTGCGATAATTAGATGGTTTTTGTTCAGTCTGTTATCTAGTATTAGATTTCTAAGGTTTGAGTTGAATTCAGACACATCAGTGTTAGGAATTCTATAGACTGCACCCACAGACAGGACAGACTCGGCACCCTTGACTCTGAAACTGGCGAAGATATACTCCCCACAGAAGTCTCTAGTTCTAATTATTTTTAAGCATGTTAGTTCTTGGTGGTAGTAAAGAGCAGTACCACCACCTCTCTGCATTTGACGACAGTTGTGAATTGCCGAGAAGTTAGGCATGTTAAAGAGTTGAGTAGTATCCTCTTTCAACCACGTTTCAGTAAGTATAATAAAAGAGAATTTGTTGTCAATAGTTTCAATCAAGGCACTAACATCATCGAAGTGTTTACCTAGGGATCTAAAGTTCAAGTTGATTACAGATATATTGTGATTATCTGTTAATACATTGTTTACATCATGTGCTGTAAAATATCTGCAATTTTGATCATTGAAGTGATGATTGTCATAGATAGTGGATAAGAGGTTTAGTTCTGGGTCTATACTTGTCTGCATAAAAAGGCTGTTTGCAGGAAAACAAGGCAAGAATGGCAGATTACAAAATAGAAAACAAAGAAAAAAGTAGATTAAAAATTCTAAAGTAAAATAAACTTAATGGTGTTTTTAAGTAAAAAGAAAAAAAACTTAATGGGAACTAGGAATGTAAAAAATTAACTAGAATAATTAATAACAATAGATGACCAAAAAAGTAAAAAAACAATTAAGAAATCTATAAGATGAAAAGCTTGCTTACTATACTATTATAAGTTCACTATAGTTGAATACTAAAGTTACACTAAAACAAACTGAGGTAGTTTAAATAGAGATACACTCAGGAACACTGGATAATGAAGTTAATACTAGAGGACACAGGCAAAGCCAGTGTACTATGGAACATGGGAGTAAAAAGAAAAAAAGACAATAATAAAGATGACAATATTATTCTTTTTTTTTTCTTTTTTTTTTAACTAAAGTTAAAACCTTTTGAAGGGAAAGGCAGAGCTAAAGTACACAAAGGTAGTTAAATGAGATTATAATTTGAATTCAGGCTATACAGCAGCTATCCCACAGTCACTGAGGAAAGAATTAAGGTGAGCTTCTGTGGTTATTGAATAGGTTTTTCCAGTGTCAGTCCTCCTAGCTATAATTTTAGCATCTCGCACAAAACAGTGTTTAATTGTAGGGGAATTTTTGCAGAAGCCACGCAGTTTAAAAAAGATATTTTGCCTGCACCTGGTCAGACATTCATTCACATAAACAGTGGATTTACTAGCGACCGCAGATGAGATAAGATCAGACTTGCGGGAGCAGCTATCTAATTTTAAACGAATTCGCCTGTTATTAGTACCAGATGATTTGGTACCCACTCTATAAGCTGCTTTGATGTCATTTTTTTGGATCGAATACCTTAACTTATCCTGCAATACTTTGATCACGATGGCAGCACAGTCTTCACCATCAGTTTCTTGGGAAAAATCACGTGAAGAGATAATTACAGACTCAAGTAGTTTATGTTGGTCTGTCTCGTCTTGGGTAACAGTGTGTTGTTGTTGTAGGTTGTTCAGATGGTTCTCAAACTGTTGCAATATTTCTTCCTGTTTTTAGTGGTTGCCTCTGGATTAAAGTTAGTAACTGTGTTCTTGAGAAGGTTTAATTCTTGTTCGAGGTTGACGACTTTGGTAGATAGATCTTGATTGTTCTTGAGTAAGTCTACAACTTCATTCTGCAAAGATAATAATGAGCCTTGCAGGTTCATTATTAAGGCCGACTGCTCTTTGATTACTGTCATTTGATCTTCATGTACTTGAGTTAATAACTTGAGCCAAGGGTTATCAACAAGGCGCTTGAAGTCAGAACAAGGGGCAGCAGCTCGTTTAAGTTGGTCCATATGGCTACCTAATAATTGCATGGCCCGTGTCAGAGACGGCGCTGCGCCCAGCTGAGATTGTTTGTAATTGTTGACGGGGGGGAGAGTCGGTACCCCCCACGGCGGCCACCAAGGGGGAGATAGCTGAACTAATCATGTTGTTAGCCTGGCTAGTAGGGTTATTCTTGTTAGGTGTGCTATCTTTCTTAAGGGTCTTACCGGTCTTACTTTGCATGATAGCAGGATAAATGTAGGCAGGAACAAATAGGGAAGCCTCGTTGATAGGCAGCTGTGAACGTCAGGTACAGCTTCTTAGCTCCAGGGAGCAACACTAGTGAGGTTGAAATGAGAGAATTACGGGTTGGTCTTGTTGGTTTTTTCAATCACATTTGGGTCACTGTGTACTTAGCTGCCTTCGGGTGATGCTACATCATTTGTTGGTAGCCGAGAGCTCAAGGATCAGCTGATAAAAGAGGAGGGAGGGCAGGGCCGCCAGGTGTTGTTGACGTTCGTTCGTATACTTGTTCATGCTATTATGTAGCGATGATATTATTACAGAAGATCCCTGACTGTGATAAAACTGACCAGGGTTCTGATAATAGCAGGATTGTGGTGATATTTAGTGCTGTGCGCCATGGAGGGAGGAGTAATGCTGTGGGAGGGAGGGTGGTGGCGATGTCTTCTGACTGTGAGTGGCCACCTTTTATTGAATGCACTCAGCATACCAGCTTAGTGGTTCGCTATGGTGAACACAAATGTAGATACTTATATATAACGTGTGTATAGAGGGTATAAACAGCAAGAGAAGGTTTGGAGCCGCCATTTTGGTGAGGGCGGTGGCATCGTCTGCACGACGCCACCGTGCAGACTACGGTGTTGTTTACTGGTTACCACGATGGTCTTTGGGCACCATATCAGTTTATTTGTACAAGTATGGTGAATAAAACAGGTAGATATTTATATATAATGTGTGTATATAGTGTAATAACACCACACAGTATTGTTGGAGGAGAAATATTAGTGCATCTGGCCTTGAGGGCGGCAGGCATCAGCTGACTGTGTGAGGTCCTACGTCTTTGTGCCTTTACTCACCATACAAGCTTAGATGTACAGTTATGGTGAACAAAACATGTAGATACTTATATATAACGTCTGTATATAGTGAATTATAGAAAAAACAGTATTGTGGGAGGAGAATGTGGGTGAGTCAGATGACTGGAGGGAGGGCGGGAGTGGCTGGCTGGTACACTGCGGTCACTCCTCGTTACTTTTTGACTCATAATAGCTACTTAGTGGTTCGTTATAGTGAACAAAACATGCAAATACTTATATATAACCTGTGCTTATAGTGTAATAACCGACAAAGTATTTGTTCACTGATTGATGAACATAATTGAATCAACAATATGCACACCATATTTTTGAGTACAGTGATGATTCACTCAGTTTATTATATAAATATATCAAACTACACACTATTGAATAATATTACAGCAAAAAAACTATGAAAAATCAGAGACATTGAAATAATTAGGTAATTATCTCTTTGGCAACTCCGGCCTGACAGCTGGCGAGCAACAGACCGCCTGGGACGCACGCTGAGTCAGCGCCTATAATTTGCCAGACTTCCCCGCCCTATAGTGGGCAATATATGCCACTTACGATTTTTTTATTATTTTTCCCGTAATCAGTGAACGCAAATGAACAGGTTAGGAAGAAAAAATAATTATATTTTTTTTTCAAAATGACATGCGCCTGTGGGGATGACAGGATATTAAACCCCGAGCATGTTAAGGGTTAAGGCTTAAAAGCAATTCTGAAGTTAGAAAGCGTGGCATAGGCTCCTCGCACAATATTCTTTATGTGGTCCTCAGGTGATAGCTTTCTATCTAGAACCACCCCTAGATCTCTTTCTTTATTAGAATTGGTGCGGGTGCTGTAGCTTATCGCCAGTTATCCAGAGATTTGCAAATTTACCCAATTGTTTTCACCTGACTATTACGAGTATTGACTGCAAAAGTGTTCCACCGCCTATACATAGGGCTGAAACTTATTACCAAACAAGAATGAAAAAAAAAATCACCTTTACCATATGAGCATGCTGACAATGAATTTTAGTTTGTGTGGAATCAATGAGTTGTTTTAAACAAAATGATGTCTTGATTATATGGATCTTGTGGTTATGGGCCCACTTGGTACCAAGGCATTTCTATTACATTAAGGCATTTGCCATTTTGTTATTTTTATACTACAATTTTGGGGGTTTTATTAATGCAAATGATAGAACACATATTTGTGCATCACTTGAATTTATGTTTATCTACACCACACATACAAATACGAATTATGCAGCTTTCTTTCATGTGTCCAAACATCTGTTATCTTGAGATGGTTTCGGGGCTTAGCATCTCCACGGCCTGGTCCTCGACCAGGACTCCTTTTTGTTACACATCCCTAGGAAGCAGCCCATAGCAGCTGTCTAACTCCCACGTACCTATTTACTGCTAGGTAACAGGGGCATCAGGGTGAAAGAAATTCTGCCCATTTGTTTCCGCCTCCACCGGGAATCGAACCCGGAACCTCAGGACTACGAATCTGAAGCGCTGTCCACTCAGCTGTTGGCCCCATTTACAGTTCATTGAAGTATAACTGGATCATAACCATTTTGTTGCACCTGGATTTCCATTGAAACAAGTTCTATTCAAGTAGATGCCACTGTACATTGCACACATATCAGCAGAGTTGAACAAATTATAAAGGTACTGTATTAAGCTCAGTATTATACTTAATAATAGTGCTTTCTTTGGTTACCACATTAAGTGGTAAATTTTTCTTGCTCATTGTAAATAAATGTAATATTAAAAGACTCTTGGCTATATTTTTCAGTGCCAAAACAAGAAGGTACAGATAGCAGTGAAGAGGAAATGGCCCAACAAAAGTCTCATTAGCTTGTCAATCACATGATTGACTGCTGTGAAACACAGATAAATAATTAAGGATAAACCATCCACCAGCACCAGAAGATCTGAAGAGTGACTGTTTACAAAAATCATCCTATTATCATATTTTGAAATGTAATTTTTGCTCCTACTAAGCCAAATTATTATTTCTCTTTTCTTTTATTGAAAGGTGCATATTGATACTGAGAATCTTGAGGATTCTCAGCAATAATAGAGGCATTATCTAGCAGGTGCCAATAGCTTCAATGAATAGTTTCGATCAGGAACTATATTTATACTATTACAGGTATTAGTAATGTTTGATGGTAAATTATATCTCCTACAATATAACTACAGAGCTATGAAAACATTTTGAAAATATAAGCTTAATATTTTTAATTGTAATTTTTTTTTTTTTTTTTGGTAGAAAGCTGTCAAAATACCGAGTTTATTAGGAAACTTGAGAAACGCATATAAAATAAGTAGTTTTCTGGGGGAGCCCTGTCGGCTCCCCGGAGCTATCCCAGGCTGATATGCTAATGTCAGACTTTGGCATCAGTCATGTATATGGAGTTCTTAGGCCTACCAGGGAACCACGGCCAGAACCTGGCCCCCTCAAAGAGGCAAGGGGAGCAGTGGCCTATAGTCCTCAAAGGCCTCCACCCCCAGGAAGCCCCCGTGTGGTTGGAAGCATTCTATGTCTGCCATCGACCGAGTCAGGCACCCAGAAAGGTAAGCATTCCAAAACAAACCCCTATTCTGGTGAAAATTGCTACTGAAATCCAAACTAGTGGATAGAACTCCCAAACAGAAAACGAGCAAACTAGTACGACGTCACACGTTGCCGCGCCGCTGTCTGCGCAGCTCCCCCTTCCCCGGGAAGGTGAAGGGTGAGCCCCAGATCCCTCACGCTGGCTACCCACACCTCAGTTCTTGAGGCTGATGCTATAAGCAGGGGTTACTTGATCTCAAGACTTGGGCAGCTTCGGGGGATGCCTCTTCTGGGGGGGCGGTGGAGGCTTTCGAGTCTTGTCTTCCGGCTGAAGCTTCTGGGTCTGACCAGTGGGCCCCCTTCCTTCCGGCTTCTGCGGCTGCACCATCCTTGTCTTGTGGAGACAGTGCTTGGGGAGATGACTCAGCCCTGGGTCCTGCTGTGGGGGGCCCAAGGGACTGGGGAGGGGCTGACTTGGGGGGGCCTTGGGCCCCGCTGCACCCCGCCTGGGTTTTTATTCCCTCTGAGCGGGGCATACTGTTACTCTGCGTACGAGTTGGATTTAGGGTCGGCCCCTCCCCGGGTTTGGTTCCGTGTTCCCTGGGTGCGTCGCTTTCGTCTTTCCAGAGGTTTTCGGCTTATCACATCCAACCTGGTATGGTGCGGGTGGCCCTTGCAGCGTACCTCCTGCGTGACACGGATTATGCCTCGGAGATGGATCCCTTGGAATTCAGGTTTGGGTCTTCGTTCCCTTTCTGGCTCCGTTACGAGATTCCGGAGTCTTCCTGGCTAGCGGACTGCCCCTTGTTTGTTCTGGATTCCTGGCATTCCTTCTGTCGTTCCCGCACGCTGGAGTGGCGGGAAGCTTCCACAGTGGTTCAGGTTTTCCTGGGGGGCGATCTTGAGTACCTAAACGAGTGCTTGTTTGCCCCTGCCCTTCCACGTGATGTTGGCATTCTTCAGCTCCATGTGCAGGTTCTCTCCCTTTTGGCGGCGCTTGTTGCAGAGGACTTGCGCGCCCGGGACCTTTTGGCTTCGGCCTTGCGGTTCTTTTCCCTCCTGGGGCTGTCCTTGGATTGGCTCGTGGAGGATGTGAGGGTGCTTGGGTCCGTCCCAGCGTCCGGCGCCTTGTCCTCGGCGGCTTGTTCGTTGGTTGCCTTGTTGAAGCTTTTCGCACCGATTTTGAGGGATGCGGTTTCCCTGTTCTATGCTTTCTAGCTCGTGTGTCGGCAGGTGGTGCTGGGTTCCTCCGTGGAATCTGCTTGGGCTCTGGCTCTTAGGTTGTCGTTGCCTTTTTGTTCTCTTCTGTTTGAGGTGGCTGCTGTAGCGCAGTTTATCCAGGCTGCTTTGTCTGCTTGTCGTCCGGTGTCGGACTTGCTGGTCCTCCGGGGGTCCCGTGAAGGGGTCTTCCCAGAGGGGTTGTGTCAGGGATTTGGTTCTTTCCCAGCTCACCGGGTTCGGATTCTTGGTGAACTGGAGGAAGTCCCATCTGGTTCCCTCTCAGGTTCGGACTTGGTTGGGTCTCATTTGGGACTCTCGGACCGCTTCCTTATCTTTCCCTCCGGAGTCTCTCCTGCAGCTGCGGTCCCGCCTTTGTCTGTTTCTGGTGGGCCCTCGGGTCACCCGGCGGTTGCCCGAGGGGCTGTGCGGGAACCTGAACTCTGCGATGATGCTCTACCCGTCGGGTCGGTTTTGGGTCGGGTTTGGCTTCGTCGGCTGTTCTGGTTCCTTCGGGGTCGTCCCTTCCGCCTCTCTCTCAATCCCTGGGTTCGACCCCCTGGGGCCTTGCATTGGCTGCTATGTCGCCAACTTCCTCTTCGGGTTTTTCAGGGTTCAGTGCCTTGGAGCCTACCCGAGCCCTCACTTGATGTGTTCAGGACGCTTTGTCTCATGGCTGGGGTTTTGTGACCAGTGCTCACCAGGCCGGCTAGGGGCATTGGGGGTCCATCCTTCCGTCGAGCCCACAGCACAGTGTGGGAGTTTGCGGCAGTGTGGTCTGCACTTCAGAGCATTTGGGTCGCTCGCAGATCGACGATTCGGCTCCATTCAGACTGCTCTCCGGTGGTTCATTGCCTGAACCCCAGGAATTCGATGCGGTCCTTGGCTCTTTGGGGTTGGTCGCTTTGAGTGACTCCTCTCCTGAGTTCTCGGGGTTTGGCTCTCCTGGCGGTTCACATGTGGGGAGTATCCAACATCTTGGCCGATGGCCTGTCTCACTTTGTTCCCCTCTCCATGGAGTGGACGGTCAACGACGCTTCCTTTCGTTGGCTTTGCCAGACGTTCGGGGATCCCAAGGTGGACCTCTTCGCGTCGGCGTGGTCGAGGTGCCTTCCCGGATATGCGGTGCCCTTCCCTGATCGCGAAGCCGTCGGGGTCAATGCCTTTTGGCTGGACTGGTCGAGGTGGGGGTTCCTGTACCTCTTTCCCCGGGTTCAGCTGTTGCTCCAGGTTCTGACTCGCTTGGAGACTTACCAGGGGAGAGTTGTCCTTCTGACCCTTGGTTTCAGGCGCTGCTTGCTTGGTGTCCGAACCGGAGGGTTTTCCTGCGGCTCCACCTCTTTCAGCAGATCGGTCCAGTACGTCACGTGGCTGGTTCGATCTTCTCCTCGAGTCTTCGCGTATGGTTTTTTTTACTCGAGTCTATCATCATCGTTATGGTGATCAGGTGGCTTCCTTGTTGGTGTCCCACCTGTGGCCTTCTTCTCGGCAGCAGTATGAAGTTTCCTGGCGGTCCTTCTGTATCTTTTTGCATCTGGGTCGTTTTGGTTCGTTGTCGATTAGGGGAGTCTTGTCCTTTCTCTCTTGGTTGTTTCAGGACCGTCATCTTATGCCTAACACTGTCGCCTTGTATCGTGCAGCGCTGGCAGAGCCACTTCAGCTTGCCTTCGGTATCAATGTTACGTCTGCGCCGTTTCGCAAGCTGTCTCATGCTTTGTTTCACCTCCGGCCTGCTCATGCGCCGCCTGAGCCGTCCTGGTCTTTGGATAGAGTGCTCGCTTATCTCTCCTCTCCTCGTTTTGTCATGGTCCCTTCGGTCCAGGATTGTTTCTCCGAGGCTCTTTTTCCTGTTGGCATTGGCCTCTGGGGGTCGGGGAGCTTCATGCTCTCCTCCAGCGCAGGGATTTCTACTCTTTCGGTCGTGGCGATTGTTTTGTTCGCCTGCAGCCGTCTCCTCCTTTTCTGGTGAAGAATGAGACTGCTGCGTTCCGGAGGGGTCCATGGATGGGGTTGATGCTTGGTTGGTACGCCGGTGGTGCATCATACTTTGTTTGTATTTGTATACTTTGTGTTCGGTTGCGGTGCTTTGGCGTTATTTGCACGCCACGGCTTCTGTGTCCGGGAGACGTGCTTTGGGTTGTTCCGGTTTTCCTTCTTTCCTGTTCGCGGGTTTGGGTCTCCCAGGTCGTCCGCAGGGTTATCAAATCCAGCCAGCCTGCAGTCTATCCCTGTGCCCATGACGTCCGTAAGTTTGCGGCTCTTGCTGCCATCTTTGGGAACATGTCTTGGTCTGATATTCGGGCGCAGGATTTTTGGCGGTCGAACAGGGTCCTGGCTGCTCGTTACCTCGTGAATGTCCCTGGGCCCAGTTGAGCCTGTGTTGTTTTGGGTCGGCGGTTGCAGCCAGTTGTCTCAACTTCAGGTTGAGACATGAGCGACGACCGCCTCCTGGGTAAGTCCCTCTTTTTCCATCTGTGGGTAGTTAGCTCTGGGGAGCGGACGGGGCTTTCCCTAGAAAACCAGCATTGAATGTAATGAAACACCATTTTCTGGGTGAGTCCCAGAGGCTCTCTTGCATCCCTCCCTCCAGTCGGTGTTTTTCATGCTTTTGACATCCAGCCTCAGAACTGAGGTGTGGGTAGCTGGTGTGAGGGGTCTGGGGGCTCCCCTTCCCCCTCCCGGAGAGGGGGGAGCTGCGCAGACAGCGGCACGGCGACATGTGACGTCATACTAGTTTGCTCGTTTTCTGTTTGGGAGTTCTATCCACTAGTTCGGCTTTTGGTAGCAATTTTAACCAGAATAGGGGTTTGTTTTGGGGCGCTTACCTTTCTGGGTGCCTGATCCAGTTGATGGCAGACATAGAATGCTTCCAACCACACGGGGGCTTCTATAGACCATTGCTCCCCTTGCCTCTCTGAGGGGGCCAGGTTCTGGCTGTGGTCCCCGGTAGGCCTAAGAACTCCATACACATGACTGATGCCAAAGTCTGACATTAGCATATCAACCTGGGATAGCTCTGGGGGAGCCTCCAGGACTCACCCAGAAAATGGTGTTTCATTACATTCAACGCTGGGTTTTTTTATTAATTTTTTTAATATGCAGGAGTCAAATTCACGAAGCAGTTACGCAAGCACCTTCAAACCTGTACATCCTTTTCCTAATCTTTGGCGGCTTTGTTTACAATTATTGAACAGTTAATGAGCTGCAAAGCACCAGGAGGCTGTTTATAACAATAACAACAGTTGATTGGGAAGTTTTCATGCTTATAAACTGTTTAATAAAGTTAATCAATGCCGTCAAAGATTGAGGAAAGATGTACACGTTCGTAAGTACTTGCGTAACTACTTCGTGAATCTGGCCCCAGATGTTTTGAAAATTTGTTATGCCTTTAGTTGTATAAACCAAAATGTCATTGTGTAGTGAATGTGGGAAGAATGGAAGCATTTGATGTAACTTGATTATTCAGTCACAACATGTTTGTTCTTTTTTGAGTTTATAATGAGATGATAATCTACAATAGAGCAGTGGCTATTCTGGCTGGTATTGTGCCAGTCACATGAATAAAAAAAAAAAAGTAAATAAGACTGCTTGTTTCCTTTACACTGTAAGAGCTGTGAGTAAAACAAATATAAACTTACAACATTTAATATAACAAAAATTACTTT